CAACAAACTTTTAAACTTTACGACAGGTGTAGCATACCGTTTCAGACAGCTATTATAAATCAAAACTAAATGTCGTTTGTCCAAAGCAACTTTCTGTTTTATATTCGAACACTAATAATTTGATGAATATCATACTTATAAGTTGTGTGTGGCTAACATAAAACTAGAGGCCTTTGAATGTCGAAAAGTTAATAGACAGATGTTACGTTTTGATTACATCACCTAGGCAAAATTAATTTTTAATTATAAGCATATATTCACCATGTAGTAGAATTTCGACCATCAAACTCATGCACAAATAAAGAATGATGACTTTCTTTCGAGACGTTTGTTTTAAGTTAATATTAGTTAAGAAATGTTTAGGTCGCGCTTACGGTTTTACTATAGACGAATACCATAAGACAAATAAATTGGCAGGTGCTCAACACTTAGTGCACAGCTAGTTGGTTTTGACAGACTGATCTAGTGAACATATGACCAGGCACTCAAACATTCAACGCCTCACCAAACATGTTGGGCTTAGCTATCTAATCAGTCTCAATTTAGATGAATTCATTTTTTCGATGAATATAGGGATGTAATTCAGTATAACTCTGCACCTCGGTAAAAAACAACTGAGTTTCGAAGAATTCGATGTAGTGATGATGCCCAAAAACCAACAGTTTAATAGTTCTCCAACGTAATTCCTGACTTTATTTGTTTCAACTGACACTATTACCTGAATGGGTTCAGTCAAACAGAATTTTAGGTTCCGATTTGTGTGTTGAGGACAGAAAACCTACTACCCTGTTAGTCCTTTTCTAGCAAGCTTCTGAGAGAATCTAGCCTTCTCTTGAATGAATCATTTAGAGAGACAAACACCACTTTTCCAGATAACAGGATCCAAGAATTAGTGACTCGGTGTGAACACCTGTACGCTACCGGTATTTTGTTCGTTCTTGGCTTCCATACTTGCTTGCCATGACCTCCGATTTGTCCCGACCTAGTGGGAAGAAAAAGACGATATATCTCGTTCAAAACCATTCCTAATTATTCTATACATGAAAACCAGATCGCCTCTTTATCTGCGGTAGAACAGTGTATAGAGCTCTAGTTTTCCAAGCCGCCCTTTGTATGGCGAACCCAGGAGTTCCCGAATTGCATGGTTAGCTGCCCTCTATACGTTTTACTAATTGTCAGAGTTACTATTTAAACAGAGACTTGCGGGCTGAACTAGGTCGGAAATTTGGATTTCATCATGGTTTTGCATACTGTAGGATCTAACTTGGTAAATGAACGTCTTAAAGCCAATAGGATTCTGAACCTCAAAGCTGAGACCTCGCGAAAGTGGACCGTGGCACTAAGATCATGACTCACTGTCACCCCAAGATTATTGTGAAACCAGATCACGGAAAAAGATTCTTTCCTAACACTGTACCTTTGTATCCCCAATGTGCATGTAGACACACTTGGACGAGTTCATAGGCAACAACCATTTTTCAGACCACGTAGTTAGAACATTTAAGTCCGCCTAAAGTGCACGTTCCTCTCCGTCTCCCGTTATTTCTTTCCAGATTTATAGCCTATGAGCTTATAGTAGCACCGAGGACGCAACCGTACATGAGAGTTAATTTGCATACAGCATAAAAAGTTAAGGACCTAGGACGAAGCTTTGCAGTACCACACTAATTGCTGATATCCCAGAGCAACATGTAAAATTTAAACTTATTTTCTGTTCACGACCTACCAAGAAATCCTTAATCCATTTTTCAAGAGGTCAGGCAATTCCTAAATTCCTCAGCTTCAAAAGTAGACTTTTAACGACACCTCATCAAATACATTGCTGAAATCTGCGTAGATAACATCTACTAATTTCCACTATCAAGAGCCTTTGTCCATTGCTCTATTGCACCATATACTGGTGCACTGGAGTCAGTTTTCAGTCGAGGCTGCAGAGTTGATCTTCTTCATGTTTCCATTCTATATATTAGGATTGGCCAGTGTAACTACTTAACAGACCATCTCAGCCATGAACTTGAATATGATGACTACATGATCACTTCCTCCTATAAGCGTAAGGGACTTGACCTGCTGAAAGCATCATCGCATATGAGTAGTTTGTAGGTGATATTTGATGGAAGCCCTAATATGTTGAAATGAAGCTAGTGCGGTTGTGGTTTCCAGTGATTTGCAATCAAATGACCTTGCTGATGACCCTATTTTTAGGTTTTGCCAATTTATAGAAGTGCATTAACCTTACCGACTATGAGGCCTTTACGCCTGTTTGACCAGGATTTCGGATTATTTATGAGGACATCATGCTCTACACATTCAGGACTTCGGTATAGTATTGACCCAAGATTTCGCAGTTCGTATTCCAGCCGACAGCGCTCCAGTTCACATGTCTTCTAGTCGAGTGTCACTGTCTCGGTAGCTAGTATGTTAAATGTGCCTTTAATATACGGGACAACCCAACCACCTCTACAGTTTGGTCAATCAGCCCTGCAACTAAGAAACTAAGCAACCAAATTTTACTATCATGAGCGTCTGACGCGAACCATGGTTCATGAACTGGAAACGACATCACGGTCCTCTTTATCCACCACGGTTTTAAGCCTCGCTATTTTGTTCACTAGGCTTCAATTGTGTAGAACTTTCCCGTACCACTTAGAGTGGTTTGGGAAAAGTTCAGCTCCAAACGTTTACAACGTGAAAACTCTGAGGCATAAGGTTCATATACTAGTCTGACGACGTTTACTTACATCTACCTGTACCTATCGCCTGTTCATACGGTCAACTAGTTTGTGATCCGAACGTATCCCCGTGCAGTCAGCGTGTGTGAATTTCCCAACATCATCTTCCTTTCATAAACAAAAGTAAATTAACTTTTAAGAGGGGCCTTACTTTTTTACTTCCGGAATCTACTTTTTGTCCTATTTTATAAAGCCCATGAATGCTAACGGCTTCTACTGTTTCTAAGAGAGGCTTGCCTGTTAAAAGCCTAACTTGGCATATGTAGTGTAGGTGATGTTCAAAATTCTTCATTAATTTTTATGCACAAACACGGTTAGAAGTAACATTTGTAGCTTTCGTTCTCTAAAAGAAATCAAATACAATCCAGAAGGAATTCGTAGCCATAATTATCGTCGTTGATGTTAGTCCTTGAGGGAATTTCTATGAAAACCTGACTACAAATAATGAATTCTAGTCCTTGCACTATGAACCATTCATAACCGGTACGTTACTTTATGGGAAGAACGGACCAAGAATTCGTATGATCGTCACCGAATCTTCCACGCTCTTTCTCATAGTTCAGTCTTATCGAAAACATATAAAGATCAGTTTCGACAAATGGAAATGGTCTCTCTAGGTCATCGTAGATCACCAACTTAGATGGATGAGGGCATACTGGAGTCAGATGTCAACCATCTAAGGTCGAAGTAACAGCCCGCGGTCAGCAACTTAAGCGGATTACTCGTTCAACGTCTTCACACAACGTAACCACTGTAAGATCCATTTTGAAGGTTTTATGTGTTGGTGAAAATCCCTCCATGTATAAACTTGTACTTTGTTTCTATTGATTCCCTTAGTTGTACATTGTTGTATTTTGATTACATTTGAGTTGTTAATACTTGTATTTTTTATTATAGTTTTTGTTTTTCTTACGCATTCACTAAGTTTGTGTTTCTTCCTGAACTGCATCTGTGTTGTTTTACTTGGCACTTGTTCTTGGCGGTAGCCATATTGATTTGCTCCTCCTTTTGTGTGTGTTCTATCCAGTCAGGATGGAATAACGTTCATTTGTTGTGAATGGTAATTTTCCCTCATCTTCTATCAAATTCTTTATTTATTGTAATTTAGATTTGATTGATTGAACAATTATTGGTTGAATAGCCGGGTGGTAATATTTGTTTAGGTAACGATTTACATTTAAATTTATGATGAATTATAGAACCGCTAGTTACCCGATTACTTGTTCTGATTTCGACGGGAAAGGGCGCGTGTCTAAAATACACGGTCGGCTATTCTTCAACATCCAAACCGTAGTTTGGATTCTACAACCACATTGATGACCGCACAACACAAACAACCTTATTACGGAGCAGATACAAGTAACAGAGTGCGACTACTGCTGCACGGGCCAGCTTGTGGCGTGGAGTTAATTTATGCTCGTTGGTCGTCCTCGACATTCAATGACCCGACTGCCAGATGATTTAGCTGGGGCTCAGAGACATTTCACTGGCCGTACATTATGAAAGAGGACGAGACTGCCACATGATAGCTTATGATTTATTTTATAGTCAATGCCATTCCAGTAAAGTTTAATGCCCGTAAACCACCCAACACTTAGATTACGTAAGGGCTTGTAGCGGTAAATAAATCCCTAAAATAAATAGCTCTGTAAGTTTTCGACATTGCATGCTGACCAGATTAGTTTTAGTGGACTCACCTAGCTGAAGGCGCTCGGTCATGCGTCCGTACCAGATCACGTGTCGGAAAGCCGTGCTTAACATCTACTGCAATCACTAGCCAGACTAGATCAGACAATTCCGATATATTAGCAATCGTCAAATAAAACTTCTGATCTCCTCGATTCTGTCTTTTGATTTCTCTTTGTGGGTACGGGCTATATTAGAACGTGTTGCTGGTAAAAGCTTTGTCAAACACTGAATACCTGTGCCATCTTCAGGCTCATTAAACAACATGGAGATGGCAGCCGAAACAAATCAAATAATTTGTAACTGGATGTTATAGGACTTATTACAGTTTTATTTATCGGTCGGCTGCAAGATAAAAATTTCTTCTTGCATAACTTTAGAAATGATTGTTTCTCGATTAACAAAAATCTATCATGATCGTCAACCGTTTTATATTTAGAGAAACTCAAAATAATTGCAGAAAATTTTTAGAACTGCAAAAATACAGATAATTTACCAGTTACGCTAAAACAGAAACCGTACTCGCTAATACCACCACTCTTTTGGAGAAAAAGCGGTAAATTATAACCCATTGCTTTATTCGAATCAGTTTTCAAGGTGACTGAGTTTCTGTGCTCTGTTCGAAGCGGGTGTGTGTGACCTTAGGGATCTTTGCCTGGGTGAGTTGGTGTACTGTTTGCTACCACTGAGGATCAATCTAAAGGCATCTTACGTCCTGCACTTATTAGTAGAAAGATTTAAGTCACCCGGCTTCATTATCATGACTCATTCGTTCGTCGGTGAAATAAATAAGTGATTCAAATTGAAATACTAGGATAGGACATTTAGCATTCCAGTCCTCAATTAACATCTCTCTCTTAACAAGACTGTGCTGCGCATTTTCTGGCTGTCGGATTCACCGAAAAAAATGACGAGAACCGACTCCGTGCGCATGCCATCAAACCCGCCGCATAGCTTCTGCGATCGAATTTTCAACGTTCTTAAAACCTTATTAGCCTCACATATGCGAACGTATTAGATTGGACCACTAACAAACTCTGGCTTGACGTGTATATACCGGGTTTTAGTTATCTTGAGGGACGAACTCGAACTTGGTTGGGGAGGAATGTCAATCTGTTTGTTCCCTAGTATATACGTCTGACTTGTAGGCGTGGTTATCTGTGCGGCTATGGCCGCTAATAAGAGGAATAATTTTTTTTACTCATATCATAATATTTCGGTTAGCATAGATGTATGCTATTTCAAATAACTGATCGTGTCCATTAATTATATGCTACTTTCACTCAGTATATTCAATAGGATCTGTAACACTCACCCATATTAATAAAGTCGAATAGTAGTTAGCATTTAATTTCATGGGGCGTGCTTCATGTCACTTTGAACTTGTTATCTGGATGTGCCCGCACCCCAGTGTTGATACTCACACTAAAACCCAAACATTTAAAGATATTTCAGATAGTCTAGAAAAGGGAGGGTAGACAGAAGGCTGGAAGGCCTGTGTTAGTCCTGGCGATAGAGGTTTCAGCTGTCCTTTTTTCATGTGTATCAACAGGAGCTGTTATCAAGTGTTTTTCTGCATGAGGCGGAATTTCGATTGTTAAAATTGAGGAATAGAATACTAGCCAATAAATGAACTGCAGTGATTTTATGGGAGAGTCGGTAGTTACCTGAAAAATAACTGGTTTTGGAACTGTGAGTGTTTTTAGTCTCCTGACTAATTCGACGTCTTGAAATTTGAAAAAAATTGAGGGCATGTTTGGTGGAAAATCACCAATAAATAGTTTAAAGACTCATTAAGTTACCTCTGGCTCTTATGTATGGTAAGAGGAATATTTTTAGTTTGGTTAATCTATCATGTTCCAGCTTTGAGATCTCATGAATAGATTTATATGCGGTTCTATGAACGCCTGAACATCTGACAATTTACTGTCCTTCCTTACTCAGGGGTTCACTGTATCTTTAATATAAGTAAGACGGTTTCGAATCTGCTAAGTTTGATTTTGTTCAGGTAGAAACATAGCTAACATGACTTTAACATGAGTTAGGGAATAATTGAATCCACCGACCATCCGGATCAACCTACCACCTTGAAGACACTATGAAATAGCTATGAACAGTAAAATTATATAACTCAGATACATCCAATGCAACGGTACCATTTGAGAATAAAGCTTATTTTTGACTCATAGTTACTGAAATTTAGCAATCTGTATATTTTAATGCAGCTTAATTCGATAGTAAGTCCTTGATGATATGGCTTTGAGTTCCCAAGAGAACTTAATTTTAGAGATTGTATATACGTCTTAATACATACTTTTAAACTACAGAGCAGTTTCAGTTGGCGCACTTGAAAAATATTACTAAATAGTTCCTGGCTGGTAACACAGGTGAAAGTTCACGCTCATGTAAACTCAAAAGTCTTTTTGTAATACACTATTGAATTGTGGAAAGTTCATAGCTGCAGTCGTCATCCTGATTTTCTTATAAGTTTGGAGGATTTGGAAAATTCTCAATGCATTGGACGCTAACTGATTTCAACTTTTTTCCTTTTAGAAAATGGGACGTAAAAAAATCGAGATAAAATTTATCAACGATGAAAAGAATCGACTGGTAAATTAATTTACATAACTAAACCTATTATTTCTTATATGATAGGTCACATTTGCAAAGCGTAAAAGTGGTCTATTTAAAAAGGCGTACGAGTTAAGCGTATTGTGTGAATGCGAAATTGCTTTACTAGTATTCACACGCAGCAATCGCCTTTATCAGTATGCTAGTGTTACGGTGGAGCATGCTTTACAAAGATTAAAGAAACACCATCGTGCAAATGAATTCCTTAGTAATTCTGATATGGAAAGGGTAAGTAAGTGATTAGACTTTATTGTTACTATCAGCTGTATATTTTGCACCTTATATCTCTTCGACCACATATTTGTCTACAGTATCTAACTTATTTCTTAGATCGAATAAATATAGAAAGAGATGTAACAATCAGTGTAGTTTTCAACGTAAATGTTGGTAATTACCGAAAACTATTTATACTAAGTTCCAGATGTTGAACACATGTTTCATAGTTCTTAGTGAATTTTTTTATGGATATACTTAACATCGAACAAAATTAAGGAATAGGCCGTTTTCACCCCTACAAAACCTTGTATAATATTTCTTTTGCTCAATTTCCTATCGGTACATACATTCACAAAAAAACGAGTTGTTGAAATGTCTGGAAGGAAAAGATGAATGGATGAAAACAAATATCTGGAGAGTGGTTTGGCTTTGAATACCTGAAAACAGTTACGTAGATATCTGGAATTTTAATAACTTATGGTTTGTTACTTTAATTCAGTATTTAACAGACATTGATCAGGATTTTTCTCCTAACACAGATCAGATTAATAGTCTGTTATGTCATGAATTAATCCACTTCTACAAACCACTGTAAGGTTTCTATTAATCCATCTTGCCCATATTCACAGACGCGAGTTATAAAAATGCACATTACTAACCGCCTCAGTCCGTTTATGTTCATATCCTCACAGAGTGATTTACTTTCGTAATTAGACTTCATGATTGCTTATTTAAAGTTGTCACCCTATGTTCCTAAACACATACTCAAATACCCTTAGAAACTATATTTAACATTTTACGCTCATATTGATCATCGCTATATATATATATATCACTCATGCTAATTAGTGTAGTTCATGTAGTATGTACATGTTAATGTACTCGAACTTGAGCCTCTGTTTGCTCAAAGGTTAGTAGTGCTTCTCAGCTATCTAAACTGAAACATGTGGAATAAGATTTAGAAATATGACGTACCGATTAGAAGCTGAGTGCCTCAACCACTAAATCACCTCTCTACTCGTAAACGAATCGTTTCCACAGCATTGATTTGGTTATTACTTTCCGTTTAATTTAAGTCCTCGTCATAGTGTGTAACAAGCAGTTTCATTGCCAGTGAGCTATTCGGATTGCAGATTGTATGTCTAGATTTTGATTAAGCGGTCAACGTACTCTGTCACTTTCCAGTGCTGATCACTTTTAGAAGCTTCAGATTTAATAGATTTAGTATGATTCTTAAGCATTTCCAGATTTCCCTTCAATATATGGGGAAAAATATATCTTGTCAGTATCTTATTGTCTTACACCGCTACCTGTTTAGTAAATCCCTTCATGAATGAATACTTGATTGTCTTATTCTGATCAAGTACAGTAGACTCTAGTTGTATTGTTTACTTCTTTTAAGTTAACATACATGTTATCCAGGTTCAGGCAAGTGCGAACGTTTCTATCAATTGAATATGACCATCAAATTGCTAATAATATGGTTTATCTATACATTATTTATTTATTTGAACACATAGACATTGGTACAAGGAGGCACCAAATACATATGCGCCACACAAATCTCATTTGATTTGTGTGAGGGCTGTGATACCGCTCAGCTGCCCAAACCGAAGCAGGTAGTTTTCTTAGGGAGCCACACCCAGAGCCTTTGACCGAAAGGTCTGGTCCACAAGGTAGTGGAGCATCGTGAGGAGATGCAGTCCCATGGTAGCCGCTGACCAACGATTGGTTCATACACCATTTCTTCCTTCAGGATACTGAGGCCCATGTGCACCATTGGTTTGGAATCAAGATTTTCCAACTCCTCTAGGTGGACTCTCCATGTCCACCAACCGGGACATTCGCTTTTCGTCCTCTCAATTTCGTAAGCAACACCCCCACCACGAGAAGCCAGTGAGTAGGACTTCCCTGGCAGAGGCTATATACGCGTGGTCATGTGAGAGCATTTCGAGAGGGAGAGCGAACTCTCCCCACTCTCAGCCGTACCACTAGGTAGAAGGAGTGACCATAGGCTTTAAAAGTATTTTGTTTTTCTGGTTCAGAAGAAGTGATTTTTGGTGTGCAATTTTAAAAAACGAATCGTTTGAAGTGTGTTTCAAAAAGTAATTCAATCTATACAATGTATCCTACTGGGTATTTTAGTCTCTAACTAGTGTTGTGGTGTGTGCTACACATTTGGGTATTTAGGGTAAGTTTGAATTCTTTTACTAAAGCTTGTATTTATCTACAGAATATTGGAAATATTATGAGTCCCTTCCTAGTCTATTCACATTAGTTTTATACAAGATGCCTTGTATACATAAATATAAATATTTTAATACCAACTTAGTTTCTATAAACACTGAAATACTATTAAAAACTATGCGTGTATTTTCACTGACATGGAATAATGTCTTAATTGAAATTTAATTGAATATATTTGTCTTTCTGATTAATAATTAATGATCTTCATACCTCTTTTTCATGTGTTTTGGCAATTTTTATTTCAGTTAACAAATCGCCGCATGAGATCGAATTGTAACGGCGGATCCGGTGTTATTCCGTCACAGCCTTATTCAAATATGAAAAGCGAAGACAACGAGGACGATGGCTGCGTTGACGAAGATGATGAAGATGAGAATGATGTGGAGCAACCTTCCATTGCAGATATAGAAAAGATGAACAATAACAATGGTTGTGATCAAATTTGTCAGCCAAGTGACGATGATAAACAGAAGTTCGATCAAATTGACATTCAATCAAATGTGAGATTTGTTGTTCAACCACAGTCTACATTTGGTATTCATCCTCGAAATTCAATAAATACTGTAACAGAAACTCATATGAGACCGGTAAGCTCAATGAGTTTACCGCCTAATTCACTAATTTCATCACTAAACACAGTGGAAAATGAATATTTGCCTCATATCCAACCTGTTCTTGTTTCTCACATATCATCAACTACAAAACCTAATTCCCCCTCTAATTCCCAACTAATTCATTATCCCAGATCATCACATCAACCAAGTCTGAACTCCTCCTCAGTGTCTCCATTCACCTGTAATAATAGTGTTATAAACTCAGAGGTAGGTGGTCTAACTTTTATCTTATCTGATCTTACTGCTTACGAAAAACCATTTCCTGAAAATTTTTTTCATAAGCTTACTATTCAACACATTACTAACTCTTCTGAAAATCAATATAAGGAACATTTTGTATCTGTAGAACTTACTCTTCTCCCCTGAATCTTATTAAGGAATAAAAAGCATAACTATCTAATATTATATCAACATCATTTCCTTATCTTTTATTGAGTGCTTACGAGTTGAAAACACTATTTGTACCTCCTTTTCCTTATCTTAACTTTGACAATTTTTATTATATATTTTTATATTGATAAAAAGTAGGTCACTTTTTATATGTTAAATTTTATCCGGGACTTTTGTTCACTTTTGCAGATCATTCGACTTCATTGTAGTACTAGAGTTATGGGTGCAAATTAACCCTACCTACTTTAGACCAGACCAAAGAATAGTATTCTTAAGCTGTCCCCCAAATGCCCTGGTACGACCGAGGGTGGGGCGAGTCAACTCTTCCTTTCGAGGTGGCCGTACACGGTGGTGCGTATACAGCCACCGCCAGGGGATTCCTACTCACTGCCTTCTCGTGCCGGGGGTGTTGTTTGCGAAACCGAGAGGACGAAAACCGAATGTCCGGCGATCAAACCGGGTTGATAGGTTTGGAGAATACACTTAGACGAGTAGGAAAACCCTGATTCCAAACCAATGGTCCACATGGGCTCCAGGATCCTGAGGGAACAAATGGAGTATGAATGCGAAAACAGTTAACTGTAAGGTTGTATTTGCAACCTAATTTGTCTATGAAGATAGGCAGGTGTAAAATATTATTTAAACACTTTAAGTGTTCATATAGACATATTACGTATTGAATTATCCATTTCCTTCTCTAATATCTCAATTCTACACCCTAATTAGTGTTAAGTGATAATTCAATATTGATATGATTTTGTCAAACTCGACATAATCAGTTCCGGATAGTAATTTCATAATTATTACGGAAAAAGTTTATTTTTAACTGAAACCTTTGGTATCATAATTTGTAGGATTTCCTTTCTGAACTAATTGTCACTTAAATGCGCTATAAAATATCGACAAACCTGCTCAATCAACATCAACGGGATTTTCCCTATTGCATTATCACTAGGGTAAATTCATTGATCATTTTCGTTGGCTAACTCCAACTATCAATGTTTCAACTAATTTTCATACTGAATCATTCATGTGTAAACATAATTCAATATTGAATTATTTCAAGATACATACTTCCATTTTATGTATCGACAAAATTTAATTGTGACTCATTTAATTGATTAGTTTAAACTAAAACGGTAAATGTAACCGATTGTTGTCATTAAAACACTGGAAGTCAATTGATAAATTCTAGGCTAATTATCAACTCGTACATTCAAATAGTTCCACATAAGTTTACTTACTGAAGTTTGATAAAAGTTTGTGATGAGTCTCCATAGTTTGTCCAACTTTCATGGAATTAATGGTTGTTATTAATAAGAGGCTACCGGTAATGAAATTGTGTATATTAAAGAATCATTATATGCAATGACATTCCTTAAGTTGATTAACCATTAAATTCCTTGAGATACTAGAATGCATATAACGTTTTTATCCCATGTTAAATGCTTTATCTAGCCTAAGTGATATCGTGGTTACATCCTTGAAGGTGAGCAAGATGCTTACTCTGGAATATAGTGGCACTTCAGTCTGTATAACAATTAAAGTTAACCAAAATATAATAAATCTTAACTCAGATAATATATTCCCTGACCTCTAGATAAAAATGGACGAATACTGGAAGGAGTTTCCTTAACTTGTCACTGAATAGTTATGATTATGGTGGGGATTTTGCATGTATTTATATTACTGTTTGTCTTGATTCCAAAGATAAGCTTCTAGAAACGCTATTTTAATGGGCCCAAGTTGAATGTTTGTGTATAGATCGAAATTTTTTCATGTCATTCGAGAAAATTTTACGTACTGAAAGCTTTGGCTAAATTTCTGGGAAGTCATTTACTGACACATTAGTATCCTACAGATAGCAATATCCGAGGGTACTGTTATGGCCGAGACCGATTCTGATATACAAAATTCTTATGCGCAAGTCCCCCGATCGGCTACTCAGTGAGATAACTGGAAGTGAAGAAGGAGGCTTATCGGTGTAAACCGGATGAAATGCATGAGCACTTATATATATACACTTACTCCTCAGCAAATGAAGCTATTTCTTGGTCAATAATATCTACTCATCCTTAAGAGATTCCTGATTGTCACAACGTGTCCTTTCATTTGATGACTTCTAATATTGGGCCACTGTATCAGGTATCATGGACCATTAAAACGTTAACTACTTCTGTGTGCAGTGTCATTCATTCATTGATCATCTGAGTTGCCCTGGTAAAATACACCTTGAACGCCACTTTTTCGCCTGATCATATACACTTGGAATTCGTCACCTCTTTAGACTAGAAATTATTCTTCCTAAGACATAAGTTATAGTTCAATCTTTTATAAAGCGGAGAATAAGTTTTGGTTTTCTCGCGTAAACATTAACACCCCACGTGTAATTTGTAAATAAACTTCCAACTTTAATAATTGGTTTCATTAAACGATTTTTTACACAGATGTTTCTATTTACTTTTTCTTTTCACAGGCATTGTTTACTAATTTGCCAAAATCAACTAGCCATCGTAAGTAAAAATAATTCTGTACTTAAACGACATGTTCAGACTATTTCTTGCCTTTTTTATAAAACAGGGATGTTTTTTAACGGAATCCTAAATATTTTTGTATATTTGGTGTTTAACCCGACTTTGAGACCTTTCTGCAACATAATCTAAGTTGAAAATCAACATCTAGGTATAATTTTCATAGTTTAAATCACTATCTGACCTTAGATCAACATTGGAAACCAGGATGAACCGGGCATCTGCTTCGTCTTAGTGGGGGACTCTTTAGAAGTGCTCATCCATAACGAAACAGGGAATCAAACCCAGAACCATTGGTTTTGCGCTTTGACACTCAACATCTGGCATCCGGCATCCAATGGTATACATGTCTAACTTCAGTCGATTCACAAAATTGCGACACCATCTTGCATTCCATGTGGTGGATGGCTATCTTATGCACAATATGAATAAACCCCACCGGTCATGCGTTCTTTGTGATGAGGTCGCGGATGGGCATTTCCGAGGAGTTCTATATTAAGACGAAGCAACTGTTCAGTGCTCCTGGTTTTTATTAGTGGTCTTGATTTAAACCATGGAAATCTTACGGTCACGAAAACCTATCCTGAATTAATGATAAATATGGTAACCTTAATTCATACAATAATATTTCCTTATAGTTTTGTTAATATTTGGGGGCTTATTCTCGAACTTGTACTAATGCATCTAGAGACTATGTACAAAACTATACTATATATAAAACAATTTAACGGTTTATTAACGACGGGAATCTATATCCCAGTGTAGGCTGTTAACGTATAAACTAAGAAACTTGCTTTATCTTCATTGCTAGATGTGTCCGGGATTTAAGAATTAGAAACCTGTTTGACAGTGAATGGATATAAAGCCAGTGGTAACAGCTAAAGATATAGATTTTAGTACAAAAAACAGTTGAAAATGGTCCTTTTACTGCACTTGGATTTACACTTTACTAGGTATGCGCTAGAGATACTAATATAGAATCGGTCAGATTAATATGAATAACGGAGTACGATGAGTTTCATGATAATTGGCACTCGCCGGTAAAGTGTGCCTGTAATCTCAAGAAGACTAGTGCTCACGAGCGGACTTGATTCCGTACCACTTAGCTTCACAGTCGGAGCCGTGGCTGACCTCCTTTTAGAGTGAGATGTATCTAAAATTAATTGATCACCGAGTAGTGACCGATTTCTTTCATGTCAAGTCCTTAGTGCTGATCAACTATCGGTACACAGTTTACTGTCGATTACGGTCAATCATCACGTTAGATCTCAACACAGTGCATGTGATATCAATAGACTTAGATGATTATTGGTTACATTGCGAATTAATCGATAGAACTTGGTTAACACCATAAAGGACTTGATATACGTAACTCTGGTCACTATTCAGTGATCTATCAGTTGTAAATAAAGTTCTTTCTTTTTCCTCTATTGATTAAACTTATTATGTAAATTAGTTGATATTCTATACTAATGTATCTGTTGTTCACTTTTTTCTTTCAGTTCCTGATCACGTAAATAATATTTTAGTATCAAAACAATCTTCTGTGCCCTACATTATTCAACATTCATCTAATAACCAAATAACATTACCAGTAGATTGTGCAAATTTGAATGATACACATTTAGTTGACGATAATACTTATATGAATACATCGTTAAATCATTCTTTCCCGCATACAACTGTTATGAATTCAATTGCATCGGAAAATTTCTCTCCTACTAATAATACAGGTCAAATGCAGTGTACATTATTGACACCAACACCGTATACTCAAGATTTAAAAGTTGATCAACCTATATTTATTTTATCATCTGTTGTATCAAATAATCATTCTAATCAAAATATATTGAATACAAATCTAACCTCCTCAGTGAATATGGAACCTGAACGTAAGTTTTTGGAATTATTTCGGTTACTAATTTTATTATAAACATATGCATTAAAAGCGTATTATATAGATATTAAACTATTTCGGGTTAGTCCTTAAACATCGAAATCCTTTTAATTATAGTGGATATTTGTATTTTATCCATGCTGTTGGTTCGCACAAACGTCCGCAAAGCTGAAATGATTTGTCACTGTTTCATTGAGTGTGATAGATATAGCTGCTAAAACATGACTGGAAGCGGTGGCTCAGTAGTTAAGGTGTTCAACTTCCAACCAATAAGTCGCAGGTCCGAACCCCACCTTACTTATTTCGGTCAAGCGAACGGAGTAAATCATTGATTTAAAAGTTATTTTTACTTACAATTCCTTGAATTAAATCGTTCTTCTCAAGTCATATCCCCCATGCTTGATATTCTTTCCTATCATCCATGCTACTACTTCTCCTTTGGTATTCATCTTACTGTGATGATGTAATATGGCACCTTAGACTGACCCACACAAATACTAGGTTCTTCATTGCTTATGACCGACTGTTTCCGATAAATACCACTACATTTCTTTCCTTTGCTTCTGAATTCTTCTTTAGTTTCATGTTTGTAAAAGTAAATACATGCGCAAACTTACTAAAATAAATAATTTTCCCTGAATAAAATGAAGTCAGAATCCATACAAAGAACGCAACAACCTGGTTTGTGTCTGTGCGAGTATTATAATTCACGGCTAGAGACATTAAGTTCAATGTCTCAAAATCCTTACCAGTGACTCAGAAATATTCACTTTGTCTCTTCTTAGAACCTGACTCTCAACATCTTTTTGTACTTTTTTCCTTCTTTCTACACCTTATCTTTTTTTACAACTACTGGTAGTGTTACTGCTTTTATTAATTTGCAACTTTTCTTAAAAATTTCATCTCACCGTGCTAATCTGGAGTGATAACTCGAATTGATATCCATGTGTGTCAGGTTCTGCGTTGCGTATAACTGATTGACTGAGAAGCAGTAGTACATTTCTATTATGCAACCTTAAATGATTGCTTGCTTGTGCAAATTCAACACAACTTACAATTAGTAATTTGGTCATGAGATTAGTTAAACTGGATAATGAGGTTATCAGGCTTTAATGAGTGAGGTCGTTGTAACACGCACCATACACTCTCAACAGCTGTCCATGTTAGAGTATCATGATAAATGAGATAGAAGGAATTAAGAATAATGCTAATAGTGCTTATGGACTAGAATATGACACTTCGACTGTTAGTCTGAGATGTGTGTACAGAAATAGTCTTGTTGATTGATATTTTTATAAAATGGCTATATACATTGGCTTCTGGTTTTCTTCCAGAAATAAACCATTGTTCGGTAAAACTTTCGATGCTAATTGTTGGTTGTAGTGCAAATTCATCTCTTCTCTAGGCTTTTGTTAAGTCTTGCTGATTTGGACGCTATATTCATTCCTAAGCTATTCTGATAACCCACACGCTAGAACTATACAGCGACCTGAACACCAGAAAGAAGACACAAAGTATGGAAGAAACACTTTACTCCAAGGTTCGTTCTTGTACAGAAAACATGGGTATTTATAGATGTTAGCGTTTGTTAAATCATCATCATATTTTGACCAATCCGTTAACGACATATTATGCTACTGACCAGTAGTAGCACGCCACGTTGGAATTCTAGAATGCTCCATCGTGCTCTGATTGGCTAGGACTCTTCGGCTCCTTTTGGGCCTCTGGAGGCTCCGTTAAAGTTCTCCAAAAGCCGACTCAACAGTTTTTGATAGTAAATATTTTATATTTCTTTTTATTCCGCCAATTTATTCTTTTTCGAACTCTATTTAATCTTTTTTATTTAAACTAACATTGATAATATTATCATGTTGCCTATGCTGGTGCGGTGGTTCAGAGACTTACACTGATCTATATTTATGTCAGGCTCTATATTGATTATGACTAACTGATTGTACATATTGTAGTTTATAAGCTATTCAACACAATTGATATAGATCACCGAATAATTTAACAATATGTATTAAGTTCTGTGTTGTTGTTGTTGTTGCTGGTGTTGTTGTTTATTTTTATTATTAATGTTGTATGTAAAATTCAAAATTCAAGTTTTAAAGTCAAACAACAATAGTGATAATAATAATTCCTGTGATCTTCTAAAACATAACAACTTTGTGAATGTACACATTGAAACAACTTTCACTTTTCTATGTTACACACTAACTAACAGTGTGTATAGTTTAAAGAAAAAAAAAGTATAATTGGTGAATATTTTATTCATATTAACTCTGATCATCTTTTTATATTAATATTGAAGTATATTAATGAATTAATTAAAGATTCTATTTACTCATTTAGAGAAATTACTTTAATTTTTCATTATTTAATCTCTTATTGTCTTGTGAATAACATTAATTGTTAAGTATCAGTTAGTTAGCTAAAAATGTTCATTAGTAGTTGATAATTTACTTGACATGTTGTAGTTAAAATTTTCTCTCTGTGTAATGGAACCATTGAAAATTGGGAAATTTGACCTTAATGTATAGAGTTTCTAAATAGAATTCATAATTAGGTTGCTTGCAACCTAAAAGTATAGCTGGCTAAAATATTTAAAATATCGGTTATATATTTCTAAACATTTTGAAGATCCGGTATTTAGTCAAGATGAAATGTGTTGGGTATTCTTAAAATGTCGTTCTTCAAAGTCTATAGGGGTCCCGAGTCCCCAAATTTCCTGGTACGGCCAAGGATGTGGAGATTTTTCCCTCCCTCTCGAAATGCTCTTACATGGTCATGCGTATACAGCCATTGCCAGGGAATTCCTACCCTCTGTAAAATTGAGAGGACGAAAACCGAATGTCCGGGTTAGCAGGTTCAGAGGAATCCACCTAGGGGAGTTGGAAAATCCTAATTCCAAACCAATCATGCACATGGGCTCCAGGATCCTGAGGGGACAAATGGCGCATGAATTTATTGTTGATCACCGGCTGCCATGGGACTGCATCATCTAACGTTGCTCTATTATCTTGTGGATTAGACCTCTAGGTCAAAGACACGGTAGTTGGCCGCCTAGGAAAACTACCTGCTTCTGTCTGGGCACCCAGGGAGTATCCCAGTTAACACACAGATCCAGTGGTTTGTGTGGCGCATATATATATTTGGTGTCTCCTTGTACCAGTGTTTGTGTGTTTCAATAATAATAATGTTTCTGAAAACGTGTGGGGATGTTTCATTTAATCACTACTCAGTTGTAAACGTCTGGAAAAATTAAGGATAATACATTACGTTGTAATTGGGTAATTAATGTCGATAATACATTTGATGTGTTTCCAAAATTTTCTATGGGATGAAGTTCACAAGAAACTAAATACACCTGATTTTCTACCTTGGAATAAAGTTCTTATTCCTATTTCTCTTTCCCTCATTGTTCAAATAATGTAGAAGTAGTATAGGTTGTAGCAAACTTACCTAAAATGTCCATGCATTCACAATAATAAACTTTGTGTCGCATTAATGCTATTGTAGTGAACGAAAACACAGGTGGGTACAACCAAATGTATTTAAACACAAAATTAAAGAATCTGTTAGAATAGACGACCTAATAACCGGAGTCTAAGTGACCTAACCACTAAGTCACTGTTCCAACTACCTCAGTTAATAGAGGTTCACAGCTTCATTAAACCATTCATTGTCATTGCCTAATATCCTATCATCATGCAGCTGCACCATAATATCGAATTAGAAAAAAAGGAAGACGAATGTAAATTTTCAACTGTATTGTTTCTTTGAGCAAGATTTTTTTATTACGAAGTTTTTATTTTCAATATCATTAGCTCTTGTTTCACGTAAAAGTGACCTGTTTAATTAGTAATCCATAAACCTTAAATAGGACTATTCTAATGACCTTGCCCATGAATGGCTGTTTTCATAGGTCTAGTCCACCTCATTTTGCTTAATATTCCTGTCGAACATTTTGTTCTGTTGATCATATGGTTCATTGATCTTTTTCGCACAGACTGGTAGATTGGTTCCATGTTGATATGCTTAATGATTATAGATTGACATGAAGAAAGTGTTTTTAGGACCTCTGGCATTCTTCGAATTTTCCCGATCCATAATTTTGACGCTTTTCTAATTGAATTCATATCCATAGTTGTCTGAGTTCACTGATATAAGTGGTAATACGTCATGTCTTCTTACTGCTAGTTTGTGTTTGAAGATATTGGTAGTCATTTCGTGGACATTTTACAGTTGGTTTCTCCTGATGATAAAAAATATGTCACCCACCCTAGATATGCAGTTTAATTTAGGTTGATTTTTAGTATAATTGTATCCTTGGGTTTTCCCAAAACATCTGAGATTGGTCTCGATCCCACTGTAGCATACATAATTAAGAAACAGGGAAATAAATGTGGGTGAATCCCATAGGCGATTGATAAATGTCAATTTTTTTACGGCTCTTATTGCTTAATCAATTTTAAGACCTTGCCCACTATATCAAAATTTGCGTTAGTCCTTTCTCATCCTTCAATCTGACTTCATTGTTTATTTGACGTCTTATGTTCAGTTTGCTATTGAGGTTATATACATACTCCTCTCCTATGTTATGGATCTCATTGATTTTTCATCTCTCTGCACTCGCTTTTGATATATAAAATTCTGGGTAGTTATGTGTTAGTTTTATTTGTTAAGTAGCCTCCTACAGTTGGAGCTTTATGATCTAGACAATTGACCATTGAATCATGTCTTTGAATCTATACCACATTAGTATAATAATCTCCTTGTTTACAGTCGACCACCCAACAGAATTAATTCAATTTCGTGCAAATTATTCATTAAATAGTTTCCTAACCAATGTCACGTAATGTTATATATTTTGCAGTCATACAATCAGTTGATCAGCCAAGTAATCAAGATCACTGGTTATGAATAACTATAGTTGTTTTCTGGGTTGTAGTCAGTACAATTCACAAACTAAGTCATTTCAAATATATATATATATATATATATATATATATATATATATATATATATATATATATATATATATATATATATATATATATATATATAAATATATATATTCAGGACTGCAGATATCTGATAAAATAAAATAAATATATCATCCTGTCAACTCTGCCTGTACCTCTTCTAGGGTTACTGCCGGTCCCAAGCCCGTATAAAGCAGGGAGGTTGGGTATGCGGTCAGCAACCCTAACCTGTGAAAAACAACCTTGCTAAAAAAAAGGCCAACCATTCTAAACAAATTAAATATCACCCTATCAACCAGTAATAATCAGTAAACGTATAGTTAAGTTACACTTCGTTAAATGGTCAACTGTACAGTGTATCTTGAATTTACTCATGAAAAATTTCAGCTCAACATCCGCTTATTGATTTATATACTCTTGTTTATTGATCCACTGCATTGTATTTTCAAGCCTATACTTTAATAACCATAAAAATTGAATGATTAAGTAAATACGTAAGCTGTGTTTTTTTTTCACTGTTTAAAGTCATCAGTAGTTGTATTATATTGGTAGAATTCTTCATTATAGAAATGTATTATCCATCAGTTTATCATTTAATTAAAAAAAATTCTTTGAACATACACACAGAGATGGATAGATGTTCATGATAGAAGAATCAAAAATAATAATAATAATAATTTTTGTTTTATCTTTCAATAAAATGTGCTATTTTTAAAATCACATGTTAATTTCAGTTTTTTTAAATAGTTAAAATAGGTAATAAGATTGACTTTCCAATTAGCATAGTTGTATCCAATTTATGTAAATAGACATACTTATATGTGTTACTGTTACCAATGCATAAGCATATGTAACTATGACTACGTGTATTGCATTTTCATGATTATATGGTGTCTATTTATGCTTGTTTTTGATACATCAGCCAAACTTCTTTATTATTTCACCAAAAAATATATTGATGTATCTATTTATCTATCTACCTGTCTGTTTATTTCTCTTATGGTATTGCACAACTGATCCACATGGTATATATATATATATTTACATCATATTATACAAATATTACATATGTATTTCAATCTAATCCCGTGAATTACTTACATTATTTGTTTAGTGACGTAGCTATCATCATTGTCTTACCGATTATTATTGGTTACTTAAACGACGATAGTCACGTAGATAATAATGAAGTTAATATTAAGAAAGAATTCAGTTGGAAATATTCAAACATTACACATACACCTAGATTTTGTGTATATTTGTATTTTCCATAATATTGATTAGAGTAGTCAGTTTGTTCAAATAAATTAATTTACTTAAGAGTAATGAATTATTCAAATTTTAACGTATAATCTACTTTTAAATTAAGACATAAATATAAAAAAAGGAACTTTAAATTATATATATTACAAAGTGATTTCTTTTGTCATAGATAACTCATTAGACAATTCAGAGCTTATATCTACCATTTCTTTTAATTTCTAAATAGAAACTTTATGGAATTCAACTAAATCAAACTTGCCATCATATAATACTACAAATTCGTTGTGTAAACAGTGAAATTACTCAACTTTTAATCAACTATTTACAGTATTAAATCCCATTTCTCTTACATTAATTTGGCCGGTTAAACAGTATTTATAGACTTCACAAGTATGATTGAAAGTTGATTAAAAATATTAATTAATTAACTTATTTACTAGGTACTTGAATGTACGCTACAATTTAAGTATCCGATATAATGATAACGCTTAGTTACCCAAACTAAAGTAGGTTGAGTGAGTTTCGAACCCAGGAATTCGTAGCTGAAAGTTGAACACCTAAACTAATTAACAGTTGAAAATCGTTTATCAGAACGAGTTTACTGGTTAGCGTTTTTTTAGCGAGTTAGTTTTCTACGGGATGGGGTCGCTAACTCCATACCCAACCCTCCTTCTTTACCCGGGCTTGGGACCGGCAGTAACTCTGAAAGAGCTACAGGCAGAGTTATTTTTAACGAGTTTTATTTATTTATTTATTTATTTATTTAACGAGTTCTATCTTCATAACGCCACGTCAAACTTTTCTGATTCTATAACCTTCATTTCCATATTGCTTATTTTTCGTTTTGTATTTTTCTCTGGCGAAAGGATAATCAGACTACTATCATTGTATCCCTATTTCTTTATTCTTGTGACTATGTATTTCCTCTCATTATACCGATGTTTCACTTTTACTCGACAATAAGCACATTCCTTAATCCTCAGGGAGAAACATTCGACTCTGTCTACCTAGAGCTCTTGATAAGTGTGTCAAAAATTATATTAACCTACTAAAGCCTCTTTAGTCAAAAACTGTTGATTGTGTTTAATCTGTTTAGATCTAGTGGTGATTTTAGATCTGCATACGTATTGTTTTTATTTAACTTCATAAATATGCTCCTAGAAGTGACATCTTACTTTTCAAGGATTGGTTACCTATCTGTGGAATTAGATGATATAGTTCTCTTTAGTGATGGTTCTTACAGAATCCAGAGTCTTATGAACGCCATAAATAACGATATAAAAATGTTTAGTATCCGTTCCTTTCCCTATAAATTCAAAATGGTTCCGCATCAGTTCTCAGTTTTATCATAGAGAATGAGGTAGTTAAGCGAGTTGGCCTCTTCACTTAGCTTAAAAGTCTTATCATTCCTCTTAAATTGGTGGCCGACGAAATCTTGACACCGATTAAAATCTTTTTCCATATCTGTAATCTTTACTGTGAAAAAATGAAGTAATATTTTTTTCTGTCTGTAGCTGTCAAACTTGGACCTCAAGATTTGCCACATTTAGGTAATAGACATAACTATTCTGATTCATGTGAACAACACGGACAAATGGATGATTATAGAAGTGGTGTATACGAAAATCTTGCCAATCACTTCACAACAAATCCAGTTACTAATATGGATAAAGTAAGTAGTTTTAAGTTTATGTAAACCGTTTTTATGAACTAGTTGTTGATTTTGTAATAACTGTTTTAGGTTTACATTTTAATCACTCCACCTACATACTATTCATCACTACTGTCAGAGTGTTATGACTGACATGATCCTCAGAAATTTGTGGGAGCATGGTATACATATCAATCAACAACACACTGAATTATGCTTGATCTATTGGCTCATTTAAAAAAAACCTTTATCAACAACATGCTCAGTGGTCAACGGAACAAGATAGTCAACGTGAATACAAAAACAAATAATGACAATAAAACCCATGAAGACAACTAATCACAATCAAAATCACCAGATTAAACAGATTTGAGACTCGTGGAATAAACTCGCTTTTATGTTACATAATCGCTGTTGTCGTTATCCGGAACTACAATTATTGCTCTACAATTAGACCATCGAGCTTAAAGAATTCAAAAAATACCAAAAATATTCCAAGATTTAATGTATTTTTGATTACATTCCATTCTCTTATTTTCGATATAAAATAGTCTGATGGAAATAAACACTAAATAATGTGGGTTCAGATCGTATGAGAAACATCAGTTCCCTCAAGATTTAGCATACGTCTAGGGTTTTATTCCGATCGAACCCAACCAGCTATCAATTAAAGATAATGTACACTATGTTGAGTCACATAGAGTAGTGGCCACATTGCAATTTGATCAACAGAATTCGATCATTATCATGATCTAGATCGGAAGTGAGTAAACCTTTATCAAGTGACCACATAGAAATAATGCCAGGCGGGTTACATACTGCTAAAACGTATTTAATGAATATACTGATATTTATTGTTTATTCATGCAACCAGCGTTTACCAGTGCGGTTATCAGCGTTAACCAAGTTACTTTATCACTGAGCTAAGTGCAGTTGTGGACAATTTTTCACTAGAATGTTATAATTAGAAACCATTTTGTTTATCACAATTTGTGGCTGACACTAAAATGTTTGTGGCTTTTCTTTTCTCTACTTCGAACAATAAATTTCGAGGGTAAGATCATAAGTATTGAATAAATAGCAATTGATTTAAGTGTTATCGAAATATGTGCTCAATACATCTAGACGTATAGTTTCTTTCCATTTAAATATTATATATAAAGAGACAGCCGGTTGAGCAATAAATTATTCGTGACTGTAACCACATTTGAACAACAACGCGAAATTGAGTTTGATCTCAAACATCTCTTTCCGATAATTTAATATCAATCAATTTTCCAAACAATCTGACTTTTCACCGCTTTCCTACATATTTCTAGTTGAAAACATAGATTGTATGCATTTCAGTTGTTGAATTAGAATTTATCCATGTTTTATGGACTACTAGATAAAATCAGCTTTGATCTCTGCTGAACAATCAATTAATCAATGTGAAAAATTAGTTGTCTAGTCTTTTCTCTCAGTTGTTTTTCTATTCTGCAGTTTATTCCTTGTCTTATCGGTACCATTTTATCTTGCTTCTTCTACAACTTGATATTATAGTCAGCATTACCCGTCTGTTGTTATCTCAGTTGTGTAGTAAGATTTGTGTATTGTTCTTTTTTCCAAGTAAATCAATAATTTTATCACTACCATTGTCAATGTCCCAACAGGATTGTTTGTGCTCTATATAGGGAACGGTCAATTTTCCCAAACTAACGTATTATTATCATTAGTTACCTTACTAATATTTACATTAAAAATTCGTTTAGTCATTCCTATTACCAGTCTACTATTATTCATGTTTAGTTCAAGTTATAACAACATAGTTACATACCTCGTTGATTTATTAAATTTCACAATTAATAATCTCTTTTGCATATTCCGGCTGAACATGAATAAGTGTAGACTATATATCATTCACTTTCCACAGTAATAATGGCTAATTTCATCTAACTACTAAGTAGCAAATGGTGAATCACTGAGTTTGGAAGTGAAGCTCAAAATTATTCTAGAGGTTTGTTCTTACGTGTACATGTTATGCCGAAGACGTTAATCGATATCATCTGTTAGATTTGCTAATCAGAATTCCGATCATAATATTTCAACCCCTCATATGCTATTCAGTGTTTAATCTACTGTCCAAGGAATTGGCCAACGATACGTTCCGACCATCACAGTTTAACCCTGAGCTGAGGTTAACGTATGCTTCGCTTTTACTGATCCGTTGATCCCCAGCCTTTAGTCCGAAAGAAGAAAAAAGCAGCCCTGCTTTTATTATTGTTTTCGACTACCCAGAAGCTATCCCAAAAACTCACTGGCTTATATATATGAACCACCAGACTACAAACACTTTAAATATGAAATACTTTAGAAACAATTGTGTCATATATGACAAAGAGCGAAGCAAACGGTACACAATTAGTTTAATATAATTACGGGATAGTGAAACACACAACGGTATTTAATAGGTTCACCGTAAGATTACAATTATGAGAATATGAAACTGCAACGATGTAGTTATCTACTAGCTATAAAATTAAAATCCGTGAATTAATCTTAATTGTTACACTTTTCATATTCGCTTCACCACAGCAATAATATCATTTGGTCGTATATCCTGGGATCACCGAGTAAGTAATGCAGTTGTTAGGAAACGGGTACTAGGTAAGGAAGGCGAATCAATTGATGAAGTAGTGAAACCTCATCAGTTGCGATGGCTGGGACATGTGTTATCTATGCCTAACCACCGAAGGTCCCGACGAGCGATGTTTTATGGTGTAAGAGTAGGTTGGAAGAAAGTTAAGGGTAAACAGACCAAAACATGACACAAATCCATAAAGTCACTGACAAGTGGACTGAGCCATATTGGTAGGTGTAGACTACCTGGTTGGGATCCGCGAGATGATAGCGACCGATGGTTAGAGACTTTGAATGATATTGCTCAAAATCGTTTGCAATAGCGCAGGTGCATCCAGTCTTTTGTTCTCACAAATTCTAATCTTCTGAATTCTTCATGTCCTTTTTTCCCTTTCCAAATTTATTTCACTGGATTATACTCCTTGAATACCATCTTCGAACCCTAATCTTTCCGATTACTGTCTATACTTTTACTACCTCTGTGGTGTGAGCTACTTATATCCCATAAGTAGTATATAACGATAGTCAGGAATAGAACTTATTTCAGTAGATCGAGAAGGAAAGAACAGGATCGGAAAGTGATTGGTATAAAAATGCAGGAACAATGAAATCTGAGACAATAGACTGATATTTGTAAAAGAAACGGTCAAGTTTGAAACAATCGATTAATATTTTGCAAATTAAGTATTTACTGTATTGTTCTCAAATTTTAGTGACATCTTCTGTAATTTTGTATTCGATTACATTCGATTGTCCCCACTCGTGTTCTTGTTCACTACACTTCTACCGCTATGGGATTTAAATCGACAATTGTGTCTCTGTGCTAATGTGGTATGGCGACCTAGACTGATGTACGTACGTACAGAGTTCTACATTGTTGCTGACTGACTGACTAATTGTTTAAATTAAACCATAAACGTTTTGTTCAGATAACTCCGTATTAATTGATGTATTGAGATCATGAACTGATCGATGCTAGACTATCATTGAAAACCTAGAAGCGCTAAACGACCTTTTCATCCTAGTATGGAACTTCTCAGCAGTGAGCACCCGCGATCTTGCACACGGGACTCGGACCCAGGATCTTCGGTCTCATCAATCTCCACAACCCTATACTGATATATATATATATATATATATATATATATATATATATATATATATATGTTTCAGCAATTACGTCTTCCACAAATGATACTACAACTTCAGTTATTTAATAATTATTCTTTTCATTGTATACTCCACCCTAAATATGTCTATATTACTATTTGTTTTCTACCACATATGTATGGATTGCATAGCCTATCATTACTGTTTCAACTAATAGTCCGCTTACTACACCTGTGCCCCCTAACAAACATTATGTTATTTCACAACAATGTATGAATTCTGATTATAATCTATCATCGGAACCAATGGTAATTATTCAGAAAATCGATGCACCTACTCAAACAACATTACCTGATATTGTTGATTTAGATTGTTTGCCATCGGCTTCAATACCGTCAACATTATTGTGTAAGACTATAACAGTGACAAAGTCAGAAGTAAGTTGTATCAATCATGTCAATCATCTAAACAGTACTAGTACTACTGATCCTACTAGTAGTAGTAATAGTAATGACAACAATGATAGCAACAAAAATGTTACACAAAATTCCTGTGATGAATTAAATATGGAAGAAGAAAATTCACAGCAAAAAGAACAAAAACAGTCACAGAATCAGTCACGTCAAAAAAGAATCCCGGCATTGAAACATTTGAAATTACCATCAACTTGTAGTTCGACAGTTTTACGACAAACTAGTATACCAAATGGATATTTTTTGTCAACACCGGAAGTGATCAATGAACTTGGTAGATTGATTTGTTTCTTTGTTTGATTTATATCTTTATGAAACTTTTGTTTAGATTTAAACGGAAAAAGAAGATGGTTTCAGTATATTTCATATATTGGGCTAGTAGGATGTAACTCAGGACGTGTGTTTCACCATACTTAATATTCATTAGTTGACTATCCTTGAATGTCATTTTTAATGTTGACATTTGGACCTGAATCCAATGTCTTTCAATTCCAATGGCCGTTGCGTTATCGATTGGGCTACTGAGTCTGAATAACCACTAACTTGTCCAATGTGTATTAAGTTATTACGACTGGTTTCGTAATTTCTCATTTTTAACGTTCAATAGACTGTAATCTTTAGAGCAGCAACAGTATTACTCTAAAGCTAACTTTGTCACTAATTTCCCCGCTTAATTTCTAGATGGGAAATGGTTCAAATTCCAAACACTTTGCATCATAATTATAGAGAAAATCAACTTGTTGAAAAACCAAAGATTTGAACTGGTAATATCAATGTTACCTATGAGTAGTTAGTACTGTACTTCATGTTTAGAAATACCGAAAAACTTTTCTAAGCCACACAATTTGTGTGAATAATGTAACCTGGTTGTAAGATCAAGTAAGCTTTATCAAATAAATTAGAGTGCTACAAATTAACAGTTTATACTTAATATATTCCTTAGTCAATTACAGATTGGAGAATACAGTATAAAACTTAACAGATCATAAGGTTTTTTTCGCAAGTTTGTAAAAATAGTCTCATTTACCTTATTCCATTATCATTTACATTACCAGCATTCATAAAGATGGTTTCTTTTGGTGTTGTAGAGAATCATGTTTGTCTTGTCATTTTGTTTTAACGTTTTTTCTCAATAAATATGAGTGAATTACCGGTTGAACTCTTCCATTCATCATAACTTGTATTATCAGACATTTGATCCTAAAAAGTTTTACTGTTCATTTTATTCTGATTAAATCCCCATCTTATCAATAGTGGATCTAAATGTTCAGTACCGATTTACTGATTCTTAATTTACCGTTAGGATAAGTTGTTCATGAATATTGTTCAAATTTCTTTACGCAATGACTTCAATTTATGTGTCATTGAAAACTTATAAGGTATTGGATATCTGAAGTCTATTGGTTATTAAAAACTACGTACTGATTGAATAATCTTCAAATACTTAGTTTATAACCATATGCTCATTTGCAACTAGCTTCGAGGCGGATCTTCAAAGTTCTAATACAAATTCGTGTCTGGTGTAGTTTAGTTGTGTCAGGAATGAAATAGTTATCTTCTGATAATGAAATTTAGTTAGAAATACGCTATTTCATAAATCCTCTGAATCCTATGGAGGAAGGTATTTTGCATGTTGCAAGATATAAATTTAGTGGATTCGGTTTTATGCAAGTTCGCAGTTTCTCACCACTCCTAAGGAACATTAAACTTGGACAAAACGGTTGTCGTTAATCATAGTCAATTTCGATCCTAGCACAGATGTGCATTGGCCAAAGTTTTCATCCCCACATTAGCATAACGCTATGAAATTTACAAGATAATTGTCGAAAGAGTCGAAATAATCACGGTAAAAACGATAATGAGAAAGACTAATCACTGAGAATATGGTTCGAGATTTAGGAATGAAACAATACAGATGAAGTAATACTGGGACTGAAGGTCTAGAGAAAAGTGAAGAATCAATGCATCTCTGTGATCGATTGTGAATTACTTCGTCCAACGTCTCTAACCATTAATAGCGGTTTGCATTTACCAACATAGTTCAGTCCAACATTCAGTGACTTCCTAGACCTGATGCTTTCACTTAGTTTAGTCATCCTTAGCTTTCTTTTAACTTACACCTACACTATCTAACATTGCCTAACAAGGTAGGCGATAGTCAGGCATACGTAACACATAGTATAACTACCTCACCCAATGAGAATGTACAACCTTGCCAGCTGATTCGTTACTTTTACTTACCCTTATCTCAACATTTTTCACTCAATGATTCTGTAAGCCTAATATTCGTTGACTGTTTAGCCTTAAAATTTTATATTCTCGTTATTTTGGAAGTTTTAATTCATTCTATTCATTTTTATTGTTTTTCTCGTATTAACTTATAGGTCGTTTAGATGGTCATCGAAATACTAACAATAACAATGGTAATTCATCGACAGATTCTCCAGATACCCATCATCCACTTTGGCATACTTTTTCTCCTGCTAATATATTTTACCGGTTAGGATTACATCAGGTTTTATCATTGTCACCAGCTCCTCCAACATCTCGAGAGCCTCCTTTATTTCCTCTTAGTCATAGTCCTCCTACGCCTACTTCCATACCATCATCATCGTCATTATCTAATATAAACGCTGAAAATCAAAATTCATTAATTACTCAACCTGTACTTGTTAGTCAATCATCATGTATAAATATGGATACGATTTCAGCATATTGTGAATGTATGTTCTCTATTGTTTTGTATTGTGTTTAAAAACTTCCCCGTTATTAGTAGTATTAGTTAATGGTTTTTACACTCTGGACATTCCTTTTCTTATTTAAATTTAATTATGAATTATCTAAATCGTACTGTAAATTAGGGATAAAGCTGTTCCATAATAGTAATAACAATAATAATATTTTTCGAAAATTAAAGTAAATGCACCGTAAATTTCAAGCTGTAGTCAGTTTAATACCAAATAAGTATATGCACTATTCGAAGAGATATGATTTAGGAATTATTTTAACTGAATATTTGTTATAGGATAGTGCAGAGCATGTATGAATAGATCTTTACAAAATGTCTAATCCATAGGTGAAATAATTTCAAAATAGATCATTAATGGCAAGCAATATATTATGTGATTGTCACAATTTTTTTAACAGTAATACTATTTTATGTTTAATAAACATGGTTGGTTACACTAAGAAACATGACAGCATAATTTCACCCTGAATGATGTAGATATCACAATCTTTGCCAAGGACAAACAAAGGTTTCACATTTATTTAAATTTTAAAAAATAAGATGAAATTTTATGACCCTTAAATTGGGAAAGATTTGAGTAATTCGATCATTCACTCCCAACTGCGTAACTCTTAACGTTTGACCACCGACAGACATATATATCACTACAATAAATTCCTAAAATCAGCTGAAAAAAAGGTACTACACACGTATATATATATATATATATATATATATATATATATATATATATATATATATATATATATATATATATATATATATATATATATATATATGTACTCGTGTCAATCTTTAAAAAAACAAGTATTACAATTATGCGAATACAGGTTGTAAGCAGCTGGAACGAATTGTTATCTTTGTTCTTTTAAAATTCATAAATATGGAAGAGTTTGTATGAAATCGCTTAAAGAGAAAAACAAACAAGCAGTTGAATAAAAAAGAAATCTATCGGCTATTATTCTTTTTTTCGCAGCTGTTGTAAATGACACTACTATTTGGTTTTTTTCCGATTTTCTTCAAAATATAAATCTCTGTGTTCATAATAAAGTAGATAGTACTTTGACTTGCCATGCATGCATAGGTGGTTATTTCAATGGTTATCTATGTATGTACTGTTTTTCATTAGCGATCGATACTCATGAAATTCATAGCATATTTATATTTCATTCTATATGGTACTTCGCTTACTACCTGTCAAATATTATTACTTTCAGTCTGAGATTGTGGAGATTGCTAAATTTTATTAAAATCATAAGCCGCTCCAAGTTCGACCATCATTGCAAACCTAGATTTCTAGTGAGAAGCCGTCACCAATGGAGTTCAACCGTGTCGGTTGTGAAGCAGTCACGCACCGAAAACCATGGAATATGATCGTGCGACATCGTGTATTGGTTGAGGCTAAACATTAACACCGTTGAATGTCGACTCAGTGGTCTAGAGGTTAAGCGTTCGTGAGTGAGACAGAGCGTCCTGGGTAGGATCCCTTCGTAGGGAATCGTGGATGAGCACTACGAAGGACAAAGAAGCCGTTTAGTGCTTTCTTGTTTTAGTCGTGGTTGGGCTTAGATTGGCTCATGGTTTTATTATTACTATCTTCCTGCTTACCCGTCTTCGGTTATCAAACTTTAGTGTATGACGTCGAGTGTTGGGGAGACTCAGAAACTTCCTCGATAAAAAGCCCAAAGGGTCCTGGAAACGCTGAGAAACATCTTACCCAATCAGCATGCGATAGAAGTTTACCAAAAACATTTAGAAGGTGAAAAGCCATATATCACACTTGTGATTGGATGATTACCTACCCTGTTACTATATTTAGTAGCGCTCCAAAACTTTCCAGAAGCCCAGGGTTATCTAAAATGCTATAGATACCCTAGATTTTCTGTACATAAATGAACCTTGGGAGCAAAACGTTCTTTCCATATTTCGCGCCTTTTCTCCCGTGTTCACGTTACCATGTAGATTTAGCCTAGAGGTTACTAAAAGAGCTTAGGAAACCGAATCAAGCGTTTATTTAGAAAATTTATCATTAAGGCAATATCAAAGTATTCTAATAGACAGAGTTAATAGTTACTATCTTCTAAAAATGACCCGACATCGAAATAAAATAAACAAAAGCAGAAAGTATTTATTGGAGGAAGAAAACAAGAGTAGAGTTCAACAAGTGGATCTTATTCTCAAAGTTCTACAACTTATTTCTCTCTCTCTCTCTCTCTCTCTCTCTATATATATATATATATATATATATATATATATATATATATATATATCTGCTGTTGGCAATGCTTGAACAATATGGACATGCATACACTTATTCAAACTGTTGTGTTTCTCAATGGAAATTTCTATATATCAAGCATAAATAAAGCCGTCATTAGTCTCTGTCATGTCGATATTCATCCTTGATTAATCTCTGGAACAAAATCATTGGTCAACACACAGCTTACCGACTATTAGACATATGATTTCCTTCCCTCTCATTGAATACTACTCCAGATTCACTGAGAGTAATCTCTTATAGTTGGGTGAAATGATTTTATTTATTTATTTGTTTAAACACATAGATATTGGTACAAAGGGTCACCGAATACATATGCGTCATTCGATTTATGTGAGGGCTGGGATAATGCCCGGGTACCCAAACCGAAGCAGGTGGTTTTCTTAGGGAGCCACTCCCCAAGCCTTCGACCTGAAGGTCTGATCCACAAGGCAATAGAGCATCGTGAGTAGATGCAGTCCCATGATAGCCGGTGACCAACGATTGGTTTATACGCCATTTGTTCCTTCAGGATACTGGAGCCCATGTGCACCATTGGTTTGGAATCCGGTTAAAGCGCCGGACATTCGCTTTTCGTCCTGTCATTTTCGTAAACAACACCCCCACCACGAGAAGTCAGTGAGTAGGACTTCCCTGACAGGCTATATACGCGTGGCCATGTGAGAGCATTTGGAGAGGGTGAGCGGAATCTCCCCACTCTCAACCGTACCAGGGCATTTGGGGGCAGGGTGAAAGGAAATTAAACTCGGATCTAATTATGTTTTATTTATTTTTAAATATTTTATATTCTGTCACTTTCATTAATAATTATCTAAAGTGAGTTTTTTTCCTTCATTGTTTTTTAACTTTTTCATAAAAACAGCTGAATCTCAAAACTCACCTAATGTGCTTCCAAAATATGCTAAACGATCGAAATACTCATGAGAAATAGAGGAAAAAAACATAATCTCATATATCTACACATAATACACATATTTTCAAGATAAGACTCTTTTTTTTTATCTACTTTTCCCTTTTTTTACAAATAAAATAAATTCATCAAATTTATTTTACATAAAGAAATTTTTTTTCTATTGTGTATGCGCCAGATTATTATTACATAACAACTGGTGAGTTTTTCTTTTGTTTTCTTTTGCATTCATTTTATAGTTTGTTTGTTTTGTTTTGTATTTTTCACTTTTCTTTTCTAATTAGATCCCTTTAAAATAAAGTATCATTATAATCATCATTGTGCAAAAGAAATTATTGTTTCATGTGTTAGAATACATATAGAAATATGTATAAGATAGAAGATCAAATTCACTATACTGTACACAATTTGAGCATTTCCCTCCCTTGCCCCTCCCCATTTTCTTTATCTTCTATTATTGTTCTTGTCGATATTAACTACCCATGTATTTTAATTATTTTTTTAATATTATCATGCTGTTTGTGTATCTGTACTAGTAGCAGTGATAGTAGTAGTAGTAGATTGAAATAAGGTAGTTGGTGTAACTGTTGACACTGTGGTGTGTGTGTCTGTGTGTTTGTGTATGGATTATTACACACTCTAGTTATAGATGAAATTTTTGTTGACAATAACTTTTGTACAAAATTTTCAACAAAATAGATACTTATTTCTTTAAAAATTAAGAACACTTATCATGATGATGATGATGATGATAAAGATAATAAGGACTTCCATAAACTAAAAAAAACGAATTTATTTACTTTTTACTACTTCCTTTCAGTCATTCATTCTATATTTGTTTTCGTTTTTATTTATTTATTTTTAAAAAAAAGAAAAACTTTGTTCCGGTTACTGCCCATTTCACTCACCATATTTTTTTAATGCATAGAAACATTATAGTCATGTGATTAAGTTTGAAGCCAGCTAATTGAAAGGAAATTTTAATAGTAAAAGTGTGTTCGTATTTTGTTGTTGGAATATTTCATGTTTTATTTGACGGTGATATTTCTTTTCTCTTGTCACTTTTGTGTTATTTGTTTCTGTAATTCCATCTATACGTTTCCTTTTTTTTCTTTCATACACATACACAACCTTTTGTGAATAAGTGACTATCAAAGACCGTATAATAATTTTTTTGAACTCTTCATTCTTCTCTTATTGCTTTCTTTTCTTTATTGACTCACTCTTCTATTGTGAATGTTTTTTAGGCACTGATAACACTTTTTACACATGTATTATTGCTTATCATAAAGATTATATTTTTGGTCTTGTTGTATTCTCCAACTTAGATGGTTTAATTGCAAAGCTAATTTTGTCGTTCCCGACAGTATCATCGGCTCTTAATTCTCTGTAGAAGTTAGCTATTCAGTCACTCAACAGACGGTTAATCAATTTATCTTAATGATCATGCTTATGATTGGTTATCCTCGTAGATCTATGTATCTTCATTTGTCCTTGCATCCCTGTTGACTGATATGTTGAAGGCAATTCGTCAGTGAAATTATGAAATTAAAAATCACAATAAATTTAGATAATATAGGGTGATGGAAATAATATAACTGCAAATCAGATCAAATGGTTGGTTAAAGATTGCTCAATGCATAGAATGATATGGATTAAGCAAGGAATGGTAGAGAGGGATGAGTACCAATTAAATTCTTCATGTGTCTTCACGACTAATAATAATAATTAAAGATGTGAATATTTATAATAATAGTGTTTGAAGAAACTAAACTTAAGCTGTGACACTACAAATGGTAAGGTTTTCTGTACATGGGTCAAAGAAGGTCATCTTGTGACTAAGATGGCTATTGATTTATCGTGTCTGAAGCTAGCGAAATGAAAAAAGTGGTTGCACACGAAACTTTCTCAATACTAATAGTTATTGCTTCTGGCATTTGTAGCACATTAAGCCTGACGGATTTCAGCAGAGAATTACTAATATGATAGATTACTGTGAGTAGTGATTTCTCACTGACCATGTGACCGGTTTGAACAAAGTTGGCCAGGATTGAACGCTCGACTAACCACTATGATTTTTGTGTTGAGAGCACGGGAACGTAATTTCTTAGAATAACTTTTGATGTGAAAGTAGTTGCACTAATTGATGAATCTTTCAAATTGAACGCTATATCCGTTTCCTAAGCTATTCTGTAACCCGCAAACTAGAACTATACAGCGACCTTAACAACGAGAGAGAAGACGCAAAGTATGTGAGAAGTACTTTACTCCAAGTTTCATTTTAACACTGAAAATATGGGGTTTTTATGATATTTTCACATGTCCTTGGGTTGCTCGAAAATTCTGGGATGCTACTAAACATAGTAGTAGTATAGCAATCAGGACCTCTACATTTGACGTTTCACTTCCTTGATATTTTTGGCTAAAACTTCGAGTGAATGCTGATTGGATGAAACGCTTCTTAGTGTCTACTGATCCTTGCTTGTCTTTTGCAAATTTTCTGGATCACTCCGACACTAATACATGCAAATTCCTAAACAATATGTACTTTTTAGGGAAAAAAGGTTTCATTATACATAATACCAGGTTATTTCTATCGAAGTACTACATTTCAAAAAATGAGCCCTAAATCATTTTTTAATTACTGCAATAGTTGGCTGTTTTCAGAATGCGATTATTGAGCCCTTTATGTGATTCGTCGTTTTATCGATATTGTAAAGGAGACCTTAAACTGAAGTGGATGATCTTTGATCACTTGAGTTCCCTGAGTAGGCTAACTTAATGAAACGAGGGTTGAGTACTGCTTTTGAACTTTTGGATAAAATCATTGCAAGTGTGACAGCTAATTGCCGAATATTAATGAAGAACTAATAATATTAAACTTTTGGATTATTTGACGAAATTCAGCTTTTTCCATTATAATTTTTAAATTATTAATGAAAAAGAAATTGAAGAAAACTGTCCAAAAAACAGGAATGAATTTAAGAATAGGAAGTGTGAAATAATATAAATGATTGTAATCCATATCACTCAACCATTAAATGTGCAGACCTCAACCAAACTAGGTAGATACCTTGCAATCCTTTAGGGTGATTAGTAAGCAGCCAAACTCCAGTCTTCTGAAGTTTGCTGAAGCCATTGCCATCAGGCGTCAAAAACCTGACCTATGTATTCAAAAGGAGACGGTGATTAATCTTTCCTTGCCCTGGTGACAAATATTCCTTCACTGCACCATAAAATTTTATTTATTTTTCTCCTTTGCATTTATTACATCATTGACTCTAATTTATTTTTTCAACTATCTTTCAAATTAATAATCTTTCAACTGAACTCTACTCACTACATTCCTTCAATGTTATTTATTATGTAATCGATTGTTTCTAACCCACTTTTGAACTGTTGTCACAATTAATGTTGTAGAATATTCTTTCACATTAGGTATGTATTTACAATATTCAGTTGGCAATGTAAACCCATTATGTAATTATGATTTTTAAATATCACAGGTTGTAAGCAGCTGACGAGAACCTACGAAATAAAATGAATTCATGCTATTCTGCTAGAATCTTTGTTCTTGCTCTTTTCAAAATGATAAAGGGAACTATGTGTATGAAATCAACCAAACTAGTCTACACCTACCAATACGGATCGGTTCAATGGTTAGCGATTTCATGGATTAGATCTCTGGGTCAAAAGCTCATGTTTTTCTGGTTAGCGTTTTTTTAGCGAGTTAGTTTACTACGGGATAGGGACGCTAACCCCATGCCCAACCCTCCTCCTTTATCCGGGCTTGGGACCGGCAGTAGCCCCCGGAGGGACTCCAGGCGGAGTTCAAAAGCTCAGGTAGTAATCCGCTAATAAAACCACCTGTTCCATTGTTGGCATATTGACAGTATTCCATCCCTCACACAAATTGAATGTTTTGTGTCGCGCGTATATATTCAGTCTCTCCTTTTACCAATTTTTATGTGTTTAAATTAATAAATAGGTTACCTACATCCCTAGTTTAACTCATTTACCTATTAGTTGGATTGCATTAAAAAAAAATTTATAGCATTGCAGTGAAATTTTTTGTTTACAATTTGTTTGGTTACAGCAATGTAACTTTCTCACTTTTGCCTATTCGTAGTGGTTAAAAAAGAATAAATCCCAGTTAACTCAGATTTCATTGAATAACTACTGAATACATCTAGTTTTTCTGTTATCATAAAAATGCTGTTAACACTCATGAGAATAATTATGATTTTTTTACAATGGGTTGTTATTTGTTTGCGTTAGCCTTCTACTGATTACCACCTTTACTATAATTTACATCACATAATATCCTATTAGTAATTTTCTTGTTCGAATAGTGCACATTGAAATGGAGTTATGAACTGACGCAATGAAATAAAATGTATTCCTGCTATTCTCAAAATGCTTTTGATTTTTTCTGAAAATGAATCGTTATTGGTTATATTTTAGATTGTGACTAACCGTAAAAGTCACTGTCCTCTATTTGTTTTATTCGAGGTTCGTCACTTGGATTCACGTGCACTCAACATCATAACTTAAGTTGAATAACTTTCACTTCAAACGTGAACTCATGTTCAGTGTTCAGTTGCTAGGAAACGGGTACTAGGTAAGGAAGGCGAATCAATTGCTCAAGTAGTGAAACTTCATCAGTTGAGATGGCTGGGAAACGTGTTACGTATGCCCAACCACTAACTGCCTCGACGTGCGATGTTTTCTGGTGTAGGAGTAGGTTGGAAGAAAGCTAGTGGCGGCCAGACCAAAACATGGTACAAGTCCATGAAGTCACTGACAAGTGGACTGAGCCATGTTGGTAAGTGTAGACTACCTGGTTGGGGACCGCGAGATGATGGCAACCGATGGTTAGAGACGCTGAATGACGTTGCTCAAAATCGTTCGCAATGGCGCAGGCACATTCACTCTTTGTGTTCTCCCAACTTCTAATCTTCTGAATTCTTCATGTCCCTTTCATTTTTTCTCTTTCTAAATTTACTTCACTGGATTATACTCTGAATAACGTCTTTAGACCCTAATGTTTCCGATTACTGCTTATACTTTAACTACCTCTACCACTACGGGATTCGAGTCGACAGCTGCATCTTTGTGCTAATGTGGTATGGCAACTCAAATTGACGTACGTACGTACGAAGTTCTACCTTGTTACTGACTGACTGTTCAGTGTTAAAGTTAACACTGATGCAAGCACACATCCTATCTACTATTACTTTAGATAATACAATTGCGTTATTGAGTCAAGTAGCTTATAACCCAACCTAGATTAATCACATTAAGTTGTGAATATCAACAAAACGGGAAAAAAATGCAAATCTTTACAAATAATTAAAGGTTTTTTCATATTATCAATAATCATTGTAGAAATTTGAATTTTCCGTATGTACTGAATGTGATCACAATAATTTCCAATTAAAAGAAGAAATTTGAAAACATATGATGCTTATTCTATGAAAAGCAGGTCATTCCACTATAAACCAATATTATTCTAATAATGTGTACAATGAAAAATCTCGAAGAAAAAAAGTTGACCGCGGTTATTTTCATAATTATGATGTGAAGTATTCAAACGTTTTAGATGTATGTTATTTAAGTTGTCTTCAGCTTTCTTCTGGCATATAATATATCATGTGCTAATATTCTGTTTATCTGATTAAATAGAATCAATCCTTAAGACAATTAGAATGCTTTTATATTATATTATCAGCAAACATTGTAAATTGAATTAAGCATAGTGAAATATATTTTATCAATTATACCATGATTATTGACTGAACTTCAACATTCCTGTCTAGTTGACCTTTTATTTTTATATATAAATGCTCTTAACAAGTATATGTGTGACCAGATTGTTCGAAATGTATTGCGCTAATATATCACATAGTTCTGATAATCTTCGTCTTCTAATATCATTATCGAAATTCCATTATTTGTTTATTGTTATTATTTCGACTCATTTAACATTCAACTTTGCTAATCTCTTCACATTATATTGTATAGCATCTCGGTTTGAGATATGTTTATGTTGAATCCTACCTTGATAAACATACACGAATATCCTCCCCCCGCCTATTTTTTTTTCTTTCTTTGAGATCACAAACTGATTTTAACTAGACCATCATTGAGACATGGAGTGCAATTCGTCCTAGTATGAGGTTCTCAGCCAGTGCGTATACTCAATTCCGCACACTAGACTCGAACCCAAGACTAAATATGACGAAAATAGTAATTATAAATGGACCACTTGTTTATTTTAATTATAATGTCAAATTAGGAATAAAGCTAGATTTTTCCTGTTGTAACATGTAGTAAATAATACAAAGTATTTATTCAGGTCAACTACATTTACTTGTTATAGCCTGTTTTATTCATTGAATAAAACAAAGATCTATTTATCAATGTGTCATATCGGTTTACGATCATGAAAGTACATTTAATCATG